TGAGAACAAGAGGGCATTTTGGAGGGCTCTTGGATGATTCTGACAGTGTCTGGCAGCTTTATTAGACCTCTGCAACAACTTAGCCTGTCAAATTTTACAGGTTCCATAGCTGTAAAGATTCTCCAGTGACAGGCTGACAGAGCTTCACGGGGGCAGTGAGACAGAAATTGGGAAAGATAGAAAGTTTTCATATTCAATCAATTTCAACAAAACTTCATTCATGCATTTCTTGCCCACCCTCACAGAGACCCTGGGCTGGGTGCCTAGTAGAAATACCTAGATTTCGATAAACACAACTTTTCACTGGAAGGAAAAATCTTCCCTGTCCTGTGGTTGCACTCACGGCTACCTTGTGTTGTTCGTCCTTGCACAGTTGGGGTGAAATAGCCTTGAAAACCCAAATATAAAATCGTACAACTTCTTCCCAGTATGAATGTGTTTTTTGCCTATTGGACGGAGGTCTGGGTATAATGTTAGTCCCTTCACACCACTGTAATGCAGTCAAACGCAAGTTCTTGATTCTTCAATACCACAAAACAATCTTTTTTATTTAAATGATTAATATCAAAAGTGAAGAAGCTTTAAAAAAGTTGGTGTTGCCGTGATATTGAAATGATCTGATTTTAAATCCAATCATATTGTTGTTTAAAATCTGGTATCCAACAATCCTAGTCAAATAAAGCTCCAACTAGTGATCAGCTACCCTCAGATTCATTTGTGCCAATTTCATAGTGGAAGAAAATGCTTTTTGAAAATGTTTGGGTTCAGGTGGGACATGTTGCAAACACGGATATTGTGTCAAATATGAGAACGGCAGATTGACCAAAATTGTGAATTATCAAAAAATAACGCACTTTTTTGTTTTGCCTATTGTGTCTGCATTGTTATTGCATCTTACATATTTATCTCTTATCCTGTAGGCCAAGTGACAATAATGATTTCCATTTTAAAAAGAAAAGGATGATCAGAATCTCTTTCAAAAAAGAAAAAGAATTATGTAACATTTCCTTGTTTTTTTTTCCAGAGTCTCTAAATTTCACTCCAGTCCTATTCTACCTTCATAACTGTATTCTAATCACTACAGACTGGGATCATGTGTGTAACCAAAACGGCTCAAGAAAAGCGAACATTTACTTCATGTAATTTGGTTTTCAGAGGGGGGGGGTTCATCAAAAGGTTTGCGCTTACAAAGGGTTTAAAAAATATATTGAAAAGAACTGGAGTGAAATGTGGCTTATGAAATAATAAGGAATAAAAAGGAGAGTCCAATGATGGAAAAGAAATAAAAAAAGAACAGCTGTGTTTGAATTATCACTCCCCAAATAAATAGCAGTCATACCAGTAATTGTATTGGTGGTACGTTCACTGGAGGCCCATCTCGTAGTGAAATGGACTCTCAGGATTCGTTAAGCTACGTCGTCTGTGCAGAGTCCCAACAGCAGATGGTGAAACTTGGCAAAGTAGGACAAGTACTTAAAAGTCAAGTTAAAAGTTGTTCTTTTCCATCCTGCAATGTTTTCGTTAAAAAAAAAAAACAACAGTGTTTAGCAGGAACCAGGATGCTGTGCCCTTAAGACGGCCTCTCCCTGCTTGAATCCGCTAATCCACTACACAGAGCTCCTCCTGCTCGACTTCACCTAATACCTCAGGTATAAGTGCGATGTCTCATTTCACTGACTTTGGCGGTTAAATCCTCACCTGTCCAAGCTCACTCTGCTGTGCGTTGTGTATTAATGAGCGTGCATGTGTAGGTAAGTGTGTGATGTGTGTGTGTGTGTGTGTGATGCAAGGGGGCAGACAGAGGGGATGTGGGTGGAGAGGGAAAAGTCAGGATGTGAGAGGTGAAAACTTGTTCTTTCAACGGGCAGCTTAACACTGATCACTAACCTTCAATCCTTCTTTCTGTCCTTTCCCTATTCTCTCTCTCCTCTTTTACTTTCTCTCTCCCCTCTGGCAGCAAATTGATCTAATTACATCTGAGGTAAGAAGAACATAGGTTATGTCAGAGAAAGAGACAAACACAAAGGGGATGAATGAATCAATGGAGCAAGAAGAAAAGAAAAGAAAAATAGCAGATTTGGAGAGCAGGAGCGATTTAAAGACTCGGAGGGAGGTGGGGTGGGAAGAGGAGAAGAAGAAGAAGTAGAGGATGTTTAAAAAGCAAAGAGAGAGAGTAGGAGGGGAACTGCAATTATCTTTTCCGTCTGCCACTGATGAAACACTGCCTATTGTGTTGCCATTGTTGCACCGCTGCGGCTCATCTGTTTTTGTTTGTTTATCTGAGTTATTAAGAAGGTCGCCTCCCCAGTCCTCAGTCTGATGAACTCATTGTTCAGTCACGCTGCGTGTGCCCTGCACTTGAGTACAAAAGATACGTGGGGCACATCCCACTCACAAATGTATGCACACAATCAGGGTCTCCTGCTCACACACAGAACAGAAAAACCATTAATAGATGCACACACAAACACTGCATAGTTTTCCAACTCCACATCCACAATGACTACAATTATAACGCTCAAATGTACTTGTTGTCAAAGGAAGAATAGGCAGAGAAATGATATCTGCTGTAGGGATTGCTCTGGGGATCTATTCAAAAAAGATGATTTTTCTATATGAGAAGTGTTTTCTGCTGTCATATTACACATGCATCCTGCTGTAACAAGTGTGTCCTGTGTCTTTATCTTGTGCATTGGCAGACATAGATGATTTCATCAGGCTTTTATTTCCTGAGCATGCTTCTGGACTCAAAATTGAATTGGAGACAGATTAAAATGGAAAAGCTGTAGGAGCTGGTGCCCAAAGCAGTTGGTTAGGATATGTTGCCAAAGCCTTCCTACAGACTGAAGAGACATTAGGAGATAAGTACAATCCTGGTCTCCAAAGAAAAATTCGATAGAACAGCCTATAGAGAGATAGCCCACAATCTTTTTTTGTTCCTGAGAAAAAGAAGATGAGAATGAATGGCTCACTTGAGGGGAATATATTAGCCTCATGAATTTTAAACTGTGCAACAACAAATACGTTTCCTTGAGTGAGAGTCCGGGGCTCAAAGGCCACAAGTGTTCTCTTTTCCCCTGAAGTTTGTGTTCAAGTTGTTGGCAGGACTCAGCCAGGACTTCACCTCTAGACCTCCAAGTGTCAGTGTATAAAGTTTACCCTCAAGGCAACTGATGAGGAAACAAGATATCAGCTTTAAAGGTAATAAAAATAAATAAATAAAAATAAAAAGATTAAAGCTCCTGGCCTCTAACATCGAAAAGTATTCTTGGCTGATCCTTTCAGCTTAGCACTCAAAAATACTTTCAGAGGGCAAGAGGCACTCCAGTTCTGTGATACGGCAGCACTTTAAATGTCAGAGGAATGGAAAAATCAACAGAAAAGGGCATATCAGAGGGCAAGAGGGAAGGAAGCTAGAAAAATGACACTAGATAATGAATTTGGGCCTGTAAGTGTGTGTCAGAGATGTCCTGAAAAAGTTAGATTAAATAGATTCAGACTCAAGGAATGTTCGAAGAGTGTGGCGAAAAATACTAATACTTTTGAATAAAATGGCAAGAGATAAAAAAGCGCATCACCGGAAAGAAAACATTGGAAGATTTTGGTGCAGCTTTGTATGAGAAACACTGTAAACCCAATCTTACTGAGGGTGCAAAACCTGTCAGAGCGACACCCAAAGCATTGATACGATCCAGAAATAAGAAGCAACACAGACAAAATAACAGCCCTTTCTCTCTGTTGTATGTTTACCAGCTGCTCTCTTTTCTTGTTTGCTTGTCAAAAAGCGAAAACGAAGAACCTAGAGTGCGGCTTTTCTAGAGCAACTGCATGCCCTTCAAAGGAAAAGGTAGCTTACATAATGTGTAAACTGAAAAACACAGTGCAGGAAAAAAGCCCCCAATTGGGTGGTGGAATAGAAAAGGAAGGGAGAAATCAGGGTGGTAGCAAAAAAAAAGGAGAGAAAAGCTCACAGAGTATTAGTGTATTCAAAGTTTTAGTGAGCTAATATACACCAGGTACACTAGGTCACAGGTACAGTACATGCTGCCACCATGGAGATGATTCCCACCGTGCACAGCTAGCCTTGCTTTGATGGTTGCCATGGCAACTGTTAAACCATATGCTCTTGTGGTAAGCAGGGGCCTGCTGTAGTTAGTGAGCCTGCTTTTTTTTCAGTTATTATTTCCTCTGTAGTTGATGTGTTCTGCATTTTTTTTAAACACTTTATTAACACATTTAATACATCCTACAGGCCACACCTAATTTCTAACATGTATTATTACTTTTATCAAAACAATACATGAATACTACTACACATCTCTATGGTGTCCTGTCTGTAATCTCCTCATACAGCTCATGCTTACCTCTTTGTGAGAGTGCGAGTGTGTGGAGCTGAGAGCAGGTCAATTAGGGGAGTGTTTACTAGGCACCCTGCCTGTGGCACTCCTGCTACTGAATCAATATTTGGCTGCCACACAGCATGCTATTATGGCATGATACTGAACACATTGAGCACAAATCTACCCATCTCCCACTTCTCCCTGTGCCTCTGTCTCCTTCCTCCCTCCTATGGAATCTCTCTCTCTTTTCCTCCCACAATTCTTCTGAACATCTCTCTTTCTGTCACTCCTGCACTATACCAGTCTCTGCTCTTGAGGGTATTAGGGTGTGAGACAGAGAGGAAATCTTACTGACAACCTAATAAACTGTACTCCAAGGAGAGGACATGATGCAGTCAAACCATCCTGACAAGGCAGGACAGAGAGAGGTGGAGGATAAATAGGAAACTGGCTGACTAAATTAGGTAGAGTGAATCAGTAGCATACAGGTCACATGCACCAGTGTGTCAAAATGTGAAGTTATAAAATAATATCCTGAGACAAGGTGAGAGACAAACATTGTAGGTTTCACCAGTTTGAGATTGTAGAGGCGGAACTAATGTTGAAAGAAAGCACTGGTCAGGATATTTCTGTACAGGTATGGTGTATGTTTGGACTCACAGCATGGCTCATTGGTCTCCAGTACGTCTGGGTGGTCTTGTCATAGTGATTCTGCATCCGTTTGTCCATCTGTCTGTCGCTCTGTCGCAGTGATGATGGAGCCCTCTGGTGGTGGCACTGACACCTGAACTGCCGGCCTTGACCAGGCTGAGAGGGGAACAGTGAATGAATGAAAGGAATCTCATTGGACAATAACTTTGTTCCCTGCTTTGACATTAATGCTGCGCTTGTCACCCAGAATAAAATACATCTTCCTTTAGCTCTTCTTCTTTAGATTGAATGTAAATAAAATCTGAAGAATAACATACAGGTTGTAATTTGTACAGGCAGGCATGATAATGCCAATTCAGAAAAAATCCAGCCCAGGTTATAAATAGCTTAATAACCTGGATATGGGAACTAAAAGATCCTGCAGTAAAATAAACTGTGTGACATTTACTTTAAGCACGTTCAACTAATACTGCCTCCTTTTTCATCTGTTAAAACAACTTTGACCGAATACTACATTCAATTTATTGGCCTTTCTCAAACCATTAACTCAATCTAATATTGAACTAGAATGTCAGAGCAGCAAATGGTGTGCCTTTTTTTTTCTAAATTCAGTACCAAATCTCCTACATTCCTTGTTATAACAGAGCAACTTGTACTTGGCTTGAAGGACTAAGGCAGAATCTGACAGAAATTGGGTTTTTTTTGCCAGCCTTTGCGAAAAAACTTAAAAAATAAAGCTCAAACAAGCAGAGTGCATAATCACGAGCAGTCTGCCTCGACAGCGGTGGAAGCAGCAGTATCCAAAACTGCATTCTGTCAAGGAAGACTGAGAAATCGGTTTTCTTATCTTTGATGGCTCCACTGTTTTTCTCTTCCATTACTTCATTCTCTCTCCTTCTGTCCTCACACACACACACACTGTCTATAGCTTGGACTTTCTCTCCTTCACACACAGCTCTTGTATTGTTTGCTCATTACTCCATTATGTTCTACTCAGTCAAGTGTTCCTGCCTTCTGTCTCTCAGCAGTTTCTCTGTAACACTTACCCTCCATCGATTTACCTGACTCTTTACCAACTGTTATATCACTCTTAAGTAAAAACAGCACTGTCTAAAATCCCTAAATATCATATAAAACAGATGACAGGCAGCGTTATTTAATTGTTATTTTCTTGCACACACTAAATGTGTTTGTGTGTTGTTGGCCTCATTGTTATTCAGTCCTGAGCTGCAGGGACATTAGAGGCCATGGGAACACAAACCATCCTCTGCATTCCTCCAACAGAACTACGGGTGCCCACGTAGTGATTCAACACGGAGTCAGCAGAGTAAAACTCTTCTTCTTATCTGCTTTCTACATCCCACAATGTCTTCACGCTGTGCGCCTCTACACTCATTAGTGTCAGGCACACATCTGAAAACATGTCCTAGCTGTTTTTATACTCCCTGCACTTGTTCAGGCCAAGAGTGCAGCAATATTTTGCAGGACTGAAGAAGCTGCCGTGGGTAGGTGCTAATTCTAATTGGAGAGACATTGTGCAGCAGGGAGGCTGGCGGACAGGCCTCCCTTTGACATTTTGGTATTTCTCAATATGGCGGGGATTTGAATAAATGTCAGTGAAGCACACGGTTGTTTGGCTAACAAGGGTGCTATGTCGAGACACTAATGAATGTTAGAGTGGAGATGGAGCAAGCTAAAAGCGAACAGAATGGAGGTTATTGGTAGGCAGTCGTAGCCGCTGAGCAGCATACAGAGCAGACACTCAACTCCCTCTCTTAAAATGTAGGGACTAGGGAGCTATAATGTGTCTTCACTGACAATGCGGAAGCTGAACAGTGTATAACTGGCCTTTCACAAGGTGTTAATTCTTTACTCCCCCTTTGACTTTCTTTGATTTGATTAATAGAAAATATTGCTCCTTGTTCACTTTGTTCTTTCTTCTTGATCCTGTTTATTGTTGGATCTAAAAATCCTGATATCTGTACAAACAAAAGATATAGGAAGGCAGTACCTGTGGGTCTGATAGAGGTGGACTACCATGACTGAAGCTACATGCTGGCAGCACATGGAAGCTACATGAAAGCAATGAGCACACATGAGAATCGGGGTCTTCACAGCCCTTGAGGAACACACGCTCAAGGAACACTGGCCTTGATCTAGCAAAAAGCCTGGATTGATATTTGACTAGATCGATACAGTGGACGCAAGCCTTGATCTTTCCCTTTCTTTCATTTATGAGCCTCCCCATCACATTTGACTTTTTAGAGACTCATTCATTGGTACAGTACTTCAAATAGAGTGAGTCTTTTAAAAATGTGTACAATATTTCTGACCTTGATGTTCTCATCATAAAGGTGATGCAGCTATCTATACTACTCAGGAGCTCATTGATTATCATCTGATCGACGACATGCTATATTTACAGCATGTTTATACTTACTTTGTCGAAAAATGAAATCATGTTTTCCCATGTTCTGATTTCCTTGTCGTTCTTTCTCTAGATCATATATATCACACTTATTGCATAGCTGCCTCATTTGTCTTCCTAAGATTTCTATGTTTTAAATACTTCTTATCAGAAATGTTTTAATAGATGGGTTTCATTTGGTTGTCTCTGAGGTAAAAATTATGATTCGTACATGCCACCAATCTCCTCAGCCCTGACCTTCTCTCTGTCTAATTTCACTAATGACTCGTTATTCACTAAACCCTTTATTTACTAATAACCTTTCAAACATCAAACAGCAAAAACCAGCAGCAAAAAAACCTAATACAATAATTTAGTGGAATAATTTTCAGTCAGAATCAAAGCAAGATATCTAACTAATTTACGAACAGTGAAAATGTCTGAGTGCTTCAATGAGGTGGGCAAATGTTTTGACTGTTGGAATGACTTTGCCTCTTAGGTTTTGATCCAGTACATGTAGAAGTGTCCTAATTTCTAGCAATGTCCAAATCACAAGGATTGCATGTTTACACTGTGTATACATTTCCTAGTGATCTTTTTTCAAACTTTTTCTAGTATGAGTCCTGTTCTGAAATACTGACCATTTGTTCCTGCTGATGTTGTTGTTGTAGTTGTTGGCACTGTAGTGTGAGCTGAGCGATGGTCTTGTCTCGACTCCTCAGCTCCTCTCTGAGCCCCTGTACTTCCTTAATCAGCTCCCCCAACTGAGAAAACACACATAGGAAACCGTTAGGTGTAGTGGACTTTCACACACGCACACACACACTTGAGTATGGTACCAGCACAACCAATCAATCATCACTGTAATCCTAGGTAAAGGTAAAGTTTCTTACTTGTATTGCTGTGGTATTGTCTTCAATGTCCTCAGGAACTTCAGCTGAAGAGTCTGTATCCTCAAGCTAGATGCAAACAAACAAACACACACAAACACACACACACACACATAGGAGCAGGCATACACACAGACACAGAGAATATAGTGAGCTGGATCAATGACAATTGCCTAAGGGCAGCAAGGCTGAAAAGGAAAATTTAACTGCGATGGAATAGGATTGCTCTTTAGCACATTCACACAGCTTACCATGAACTGTTGGCCTGCAGTATTAAACACCCTAAGCAGAGTCGCAGAGTTTGTTCTTAAGTATTAAATACATATATATCGCCTCAAGTACATTCTTTTAGATCATTTGTATATAAGTGCAGGACTGGTGGGTTTTCTTTTTTCAAACCAAGTCCAGATTTTATTGTGTGCATGCAGACTATTCAGTAACCAATTCTCTATTCAATCTGTAATAAAACAAATGAAGCAAAAAAATAATCCCAATCGCTTTTAATTAGATCCAACAACTAAAACTTAAAATTGGTATAATGAATAAAATAAAATGTAACTGAAAAACCAACATATAAAAGTAATGTAATCAACATATATGTGGATTTATTTCTAATGACTGATGAGCAGACTGGAGGGGATGACAGTTTTTCAGTCTTAAAACTTTTAAAACCAGTCTTTTTTTAATGATGGTAATTGTGATGTTATCAATGTTGTTCTCAACTACCTGAATTTTAAATTGTATTGAAAATCTTTCGAGCACCCACTTTCCATTCAGGTCAGGTAGATGAATTCAGTTCGAACCAGCATTTTTAAAAAGAGTTGCGTTGGCTGTCTGAGTGTTAGCACTATAAAGCAAAGATTGATCAGGACTCGGCAAGGCTGGAGGCTCGTTTTACAGACACTGCCTTGAGCTCAACATAAAACTAAAAAAGAAAAATACAACAGAGAACAAAGTAACAAATGGGCCAACAGAAATATTTTTCCCCTTAAGGCTATGCAGCCAAAGTGTTTGGGTAATTACACTAAGCTCTATGAACATATCTAAAGGAGATGCAAATATCCCTTTTTATGCTATAGAGGGTAAAGTGAGTCAAGGCATTCAAGATAATTTTAAATTACAGAGCATGCAGTGTGAAGGGCTTTCGCTCAGTGCATTTCAGCAATTTCCTTGATTGGGTTGTGTGTTTGAATAAGTGTGGGTTTTGTGTTTCTTGCTTATACAATGGCACATTTCTATAATGTAGCTGACACGTTTTATTTCTCCATTCTCCCCCTATCTCTCTCTCTCTCTCTCTCGTTTTCCATTTAATTCTCTGACTACCAGACTGACAGAAAAGATCTTCTAAGTGATCAGTTTCACAGGAGCACAAACACATAATATCTTCAGGCCAACATGCAAGCACGGATGCTCAACACAAATCATATAATGTGAAGGAGAAGAGAAACTTGAAAAATACAAATGTGATAATGGTACGACAATATAATGGCTACAGAACTTACACAACATCTGTTTCTTTGTTCAGACTGAATTTATGGAAAATGGTAAATCGACATGAGCTTGCAATGAGCTTTTCTAGTCTTCAGAACACTCAAAGCACTTGCACCGCATGTCACACCTACCCATTCACACCCATTCACACACTGACGGCAGAGGCTGCTCTGTAAAGTGACCATCAGAAGTAACTAATCCTATTCATGCACATCCATACGCCTCCAACAAAGCAGCAGGAGCAGCTAGGGGTTAAGTGTCTTCAGACATGTGGCTGCTGGAGCTTGGGATCAAACCCCCGACCTCCTGGTTAAGAGCCGATTGACTCTACCAATCAATCCCACAGCCGCCCCATGCAAATAACAAACGAACCATGCGAAATAGAAAAGAACTATGCTATGACATGATTCAATTTACCAATGAATTTAAATCTATAAGTAAAACATTTACAGTTTGTGCTTACTTAACACCTGAGGACAGTTATAAAGTGTATTTTTGTAACCATCCCTCCAGCAATACTAATACAAGGCAGTGTCAGGATGCATTCTGACTTTCCTACAGGGCTTTTAGGTCGGTTGGCATTTGGGCCAACAAAAATGTAGTTCAACCAACACATTTAGGGTCTTAGTGGATTCTGAGGCATTTATGTCAGATGTGGCCTCGTTATAAGACAAAAAAAAAGCATTGACGGTAGCATGGGCAGCAGATTTTTTGTGTTGGACATTTTCAAAGGGTGATGCTAAATTATTAGAATGATGACTCTTAAAAAAACACTGACCCTAAAATATTAGGGTCAGTGAAATATGAACATGCATGTGTATGCATGGATTTATGTCAGTGTGTGAAAGTTTTGGTGCAAGCATGCACGTTTTTGTTGATTCATGTCTTTTTGCAAATATGGGCCTTACCTGCAGCAGCGTTTTGAGCCTGAGCAGCTGGCTCTTTAGGGAGCTACAGTCCTGACTCATATGTTTGAGTGTGATTTCATCTAGCGCTGACATGTAGCTATGCTGCCTTCCTTCAGAAGGAACTGACTGTGAAGAAATCCTTGAAGACCTGAGACCATCATAGTGCTGGAAGACATTGGATCTGAGACAGGGAGAGAAACAGTCACAGAGGGTCAAGAGAGAGAAAAACAGAAAGTTGTCAACTTTATTGAGTTTTAACTTACTTGAACTTCCTTTAACTCCTTTAAGGCAAACTTTTTCATCTTTAGAGGCCTAACTCACCTGCTTTCATTATGGATGTGTTCTGGTCCACTCCAGCGGTGGGGTTTACGCCGCTGTCCCTGCCGACCCGCCCTCTCTGAGCGTTCAATATGGGACATCCTGTCAGAGTCTACAGAGAGAGAGTTATATAGTGAGCCAAACCGAAGAAACTAAAGAGAATGTCAGAAATAGAGAGGATGAGATTACTAAATAAAACAGCATATATACGGTGCTATCTGACCTGAAATTTTAAAGACAGCCTTTGTGATTTACTATAGATGCAGTGTTGAGAATAAAACCCCAATTCTGTTTCTGCTGTTATTTCTTGAAGCGAAACTAGCACATGTTTTTGGTTGAAGATGAACAGTATTTTCCAAAGGTTACAATTTTATTTTCCTCTACTTTTCCCAACCTTCCGTCTGCCAACACTCAAAGGGTCACACACAGAAAAAAAGAAAAGAAAAAAAACTAAGAATCAATTTTTCATCTCTTCTGGTAATGAATACTGATGTGTATATACCAAATATACCCAGAACATCTGCATATAAATCAAAATCTGATACATCTCCTTCCCTATTTCTCTTAACTCCTGCACCTTTTCCATGCAAACACGGGCTGCCACACACACAGTGACGTGCCATTTCATTTTCAAGGAGGTAAAAGGACACAATATTTGTTTGCTACACTCAATTGCATATAGCTGTGAAATGAACCAGGACTGCAACAGAATTGACAACTAACAGAGCGCGACCCTCCGGAAATCAAAAAGACCCTTGACTTTTACATGCCAGATGGTCTTTGGAATGAGAGAAAGGAGGGAATGAGAGAAAATAAAAAAGGGATCAAGAATTACTGAAAAGATTGGAGGACCCCAGACCAGGCCATAGAGCAAAAGTGGTTCAAATACTTTACCCTTAGTGTCACCACATAGCACAGGAGTTGAACTGTCACATTCCAAGAAACCTGAGTGCTTCCAGGTTTAACTCCTTTCACCTCAAGAGAAGTCCTCCAAAAAGAAATATAGCAAAAATATATTCCAACTTGGAAAAAATACATCCATAATAAGCTCAGACGGAGAGCAGAGAGAAACAATTCCTTGTCCAGTCAGCTGGTGATCAGTTAAAGGGCCAGAGAGAGTTCCCAGCTCCCACCCTGCCTGGGTCCCTGGCTGGGTCTGTCTTTGTTGACAGCTTTGTTTTTGTGGATACTCCCTAGGAACTGGAACTGGGGAGAGATGACTGTGGTGGAGGGAGAGCAGCTGATGTGGCTGTTTAGTTTCCAAGCTTAAGAGTCACCAGCTGAGGCAGGCATGGGAGAAAGACTGTGGCCTCTTTCCCGTCACGGGGCCTGACAACTGGATGAAAGTATGACATGAGGCCCCTTCTACCCTTCTTTTCTTTTTTTTTTACTCTCCTCTTCCTCTCTTCCTGTTGTGTGGCAGTGTCAGGGTGTCTTTGGGAAGGAAACACCCTTCCGTATCCGATGTCTCAGGGCCTGCCCTGTGGGCTGGGTCAAACTGGACACTTTGGTGTGTCTTGCTTTCACCCTGCCCCACTTACACTAACCATGACATAGAGCACTAAAAATACTGCTTCCCAAAAAGGAGTAGGAGGGGACGAGACTCCAATTCACATTCCTATGGTCTGAACATTCCCATGTCTCTCTCTCTCTCTCTCTTGCCCCTCTCTTTCTCTCTCTCTTGCCCCTCTCTTTCTCTCTCACTCTCAGAAACAAGTAGAACAATGTTTACACACTGAAGAACTACATCAGAGGGGTAAACCTGCCTCAGTAATGTATACCCAGTTGAAAGTTTATTAGCTACACCTAGCTTAAACTAATGCATTCTAATCAACAGGCCCCAGGCAAATTCTGCTTATAAGAAGGTTGTAAAATTCAACTTCTGGGTGTTGATTCAACTTTATGGTCTTTTTGGCAGTCGTAGTTTATATCAATCAGGGTGGATTGAATAAAAGAAAGATCTCAGTGTGAAACGGATCATTATCCAATGGTTCCACAAAACACAGTTTCCAAAATGACCATAAAGAAAAATCAACACCTCTCTGAAACCCTTTCAATGACAAATGAATGTTATGACCTCCATACATTCAGGAGTTTTCGTGCAGGGATGTTGCATCAGACTGCATTTCAAAGTGTATCGAAGAAAGTGGCAACTGTGTGTGTACATGTTCACACAGAGCAAATGAGTCCTGTACATAATGAATTATTCAGTGTCTGTCTACATAACAAATCTGTCAGGGTTAGACTCATCCCACATTACCTCATACACATTAGCCATGAATGCTTCTTTGATAGAGCTGCCATCATGACTGACAAGAGAAAAAATCACTTCCTCGAATTCATTTGAAATCATGACAGGTGAGGTCAACATTCCTCCCCCTTTATTCGTCTCTCCTTCTCTCATTCATGTGACACACACCAGCTGATGCATCCATAATAACCTTGTCAGCACCATTATTATATGGAAATAATGTGACCTGATTAACTCTGAATCCAACAAAGAAACCATGTCACTGATTGGTAATTGATTGCATTTTACAAAGAGAGAGTAGAGGACTGAGAAAACGCTCTTCAACAGATGTGTTCTCAAGATGAGAGTATGTGGTTTGATGCTGGATAGAGAAGCTATTCAACTAATCATGCTAACACCACACTGCTGCTGTCAAGAATACAAAACCTTAACTGTGCAACTTGTGCTGGTACCATACACTTGTGTTTGTGTGTATATGTGTGTGTGTGTGTGTGTGTGTGTGTGTGTGTGTGTGTGTGAATCTGGTCATATAAACAGTGTAAGACAGCTGGCCCAATGACTCTCCAACACCCAAAGGCAAGGCATGATTAAAATTATTCAAACCCTTATATGCCATAAATGGATATTGCTGGAAATAGTATGCTCAAACCTTGGTAACACATTAATTTACAATTAAGATCAGAACTGTTTTGCCCTAGGTGTCCGCTTATAAGAAAATAATGGACGGCCTCCAGCTAATGAAACTGAAGCATTTGTCATGGCCATAGAATAACCTTACAAATTTGAATTCTGTGGAGGAAAACTACAGTTCTTTTAGAAGTAGTGTGTCAGTGTGTGTGTGTGTGTGTGCGTGTGAATTTGTGTGCTGACCGTGCAGTCCATCTTCAGGGAGGTCCACATCCAGCATGAGGTCATCGTCGTCCAATTCTCCGTTTCCCTGGGGGTCCAGGTTGTTCAGGATATCCTGAGAACCCCACAACAGAATCACAGGTAAAGCTGACTTCATTGTTAGGCATTAGATAACATAACAGGCACATTATAGAAACATTATGAGAGCATTAAAGTCATTTTATCATATTGCCTCAGGGAGAAAGCGTTTTTCTCTGCTAGACCCACTGCTGGGAGTGAAATATCCAGACCTCAGGGGCCAGATACATAAAACTGGGAAAAGATTCAGGAACAAACAAAATGAGCACACCATGCACAAAAGCTCAAATATACACAGTACTGTCTTTCCCTGCATAATAAAGCCTTGAAAGCTTATTTTGTCACATTGTTTTGGAATTGGAGAATACACGAAAAATAAATCCCATTCCTCCAATTAACTGCAAATGAATGTTCACATATCCCTGTACACAATCTTTGTTTTGGCATATTTCAAGATCCGTCTTCTGTTCTGGTTGTATAAAAATATTTTCCAACACAGCCGTTAGAGATATGAGATATTAATATGTGTGGAAATAGAACATAACATCAGGAACAATGTATACAAATGTAGTTTAATATAAACACACCATTAACATCATTCACCATTAGACTAAGTCATTCTCTATCCACTTATTGACTTCAAAGATTGTTTTTATTTTTATTAATTACATTTTTGATCAAACTAGTTGCACCTTGACCTTAAATGTATTCGTTGTTTTTTTCTTTATTGATTGTTTTGTCATTTACAACAATCAATTAATACAGCAATATCTATTTAATGGCACTGTTTCCCATGACTCCCTCACTCCAAAAACCCAAGCAGCAGATTTCTCCATCCGATAACACAAAGATTAAAAATTGTTTATAGAAAACCATCCCTTTATTATAAATGATACGTTAAAAAACCTTCCAAAACAATTCTCATAATAGCCGCACAATATGCAGTTAGTCTGTCTGCTACGTCGCTTTCTACCAAATACTTCAAAGTAAACCCAAAAGCAAAGGAATGAATCAATAGTTCAAAGCTTTTAGTTTTCAAGGCAATTTAGTGCTTCATGAAACCAGACTGACAGGGCTTTGACTGGAAGACACAAGCATAAAAACCTCATTATAGAAATGCTCACATGTTGCACAATCACTGACTGCTACTCAGAATTTCTCGCTGTATTAAGAAGGAATAATGAAGGAAATAGTATAAACAAATATATATAGATATATATATGGCTACTTCTTAATTACACCAAGACATGGATGGAGTCTTAGTTGTGTGTTCACATCAACCTGTCTCATCGGTTGGATTCTGGCTTATTCTTGTCTCTTATTCCTGTTGGTCTCTTCTCTCTGCTCTCCAACCTTACAACACCCATCTTCTGATTCTCAAGATATTAAGACATAAGGTCAGACTAGTATTTGATGAGCTGTTTTTCAGAATATTTCTGCGTATTCTCACTGAGAGGAAGGCTCTCTTTTATATTCAAGAACAGTCTGCTCCATGCCTATGCAGCTCTGGTACATTTATAAAAGAATAAATAAATTGGCATTAAAATGTGTGATTCTTTCATTCTGCACCCCTTCATTGGCACCAGACATTTTAAGTCTTGAACCTTTCAGCTGTCTGATGGCTCACCTTTATATTTGTGTTTAAAAGACTTGCACGCTCTTTTCAGTAAACCAAACACATAACACAGAAAGCGGCACGGCAGCAGCTGAAAGTCTCCCATCAGTGTCTACACTATATTAGTTTAGCCAGAGAACTGATGTGCACTATGAGGTGTGCGGTAAATCTCACAGCTCAGTACAAAAATCATACACAGGTGTGTTACTGGAAAAAACTCAAAAAGAAGCATTGATAGGGTCACGCTCCTGCACATAAGCAGGTGCAAGGCTGTTGTAGAGAGTGGCTGAAGTGGATCAAATTATGGTACAAGTATGACTCAAAAAGAAGCTCTGTAGAAGCCTGTTTGGACCCCATGTGTTAGTATCACAGTTGTCTTAAATGTTTTAGCTAACATAAAAAAAAATGCCAGTAAATAAATGTAGGGGAATGATTCACTGAGGCTGTGTCCGAAATCACGCGAGAGGAGCGACCAGCATGAACACAGAAACTCAATAAAGTTCATATTTGGAGCGTTTTTACTAAAATCTATGATAGGTTTTAATAAAGAGTAAAGATCGTCAATGTTAGTGATGTTAGTTTGTTCTAATGATGATGACAGACGAGAGACCAGAGTCTGTGAGCTTAAATAATTTAGTTTTGGTCCGAAAATATGTCTCATTATGTGTAAAATTCAATTTTGTATATGTATTTATTATTTGTAAATGTTTCGTGAAGATATACTCAGTATAATATGAGTTATCACTGAAATTCATGCCGTTATTTACCGTTATTATTGATCCTCTGCTGTTGTTAAGCTGCGCATTTCAGTTTTGGGACAACGATGACATCACTGTCTGAGGCCAGCGAGTGAGCGAGTAGTGTCTGAAATGTTTTTTAATTTTTCTGAGTGAGTGCACTGCATTAAACTCACTATATAGTGAGTAGGGAGTAGGGAATGAGTGAGTGATTTTGGACACAGCCTGAGATTATTTAATTACTGCTATTTTAAGAGTCTCTTTCATTTCAGTTGTAGACAACGTGATGCATCACAAACGTTTGCTGGTGGTGACTTATTCCAGAATCTCCTGCTTGATGATATCATGACTGTTGCATTCCATTGTTTTCTTGCATTGTCCCCCATAATATCCAAAGCAACTTGCATCTTTGCACTTCTCACTACACATCATGAGTTAACTATTCTTCTGTAGCCCAAGGATCCTTCAGTATCCTTGAACCCTCAGTTCGCTGCACTACTTGAGCAAACACCAGCTTTTACCCTTGTAGTACTTTATTGTCCCTGCTTCCTCATTTCAATAATATTAGTTCCAACTCACTCAAGATTCATCCTTTTTTATCTCAATTCCAGAAACATTCACAGCTAACTGTCTCTGTCCCTGCCTTTCTTTTATTCTCTTTGTTACAGTGTGTAGCCTTTGTGAAAATTACATTTCCCACTGGCAGGATGCAACAGCTTGGAGCACCTAATTCTGGATAATCTCTCAAAATATAAGAATAAACGACTCAGTTTATGTGCATACAATGTATGCTGTGGATTGGATATGTCCACTACAGTCCATAACTATTTATATAGTCCAAAGTACCTACTGTATATAAGTAAGGAGAAAGACTCAATTGTATACTGGCCAAGGTTAATTACTGAACTGACATTAATGGTCACATATTGTGTAAAATGCACTTTACCATGTTTTCTAACATTAATATGTGTCCCTAGTCTGTCTTCAAACCCCTCAATTATGAGAAAAGTCCATCCTCTCCATCCTTTACCTGCTCCACTGTTCAGAAAATCTGTGCTCAAGCAGGCTGATGGGAGATTTTCCTTTCATGTCATCACAACGGGAGGAAATCCCTCCCCAAGGTGGGTGACACTCCCAGCTAGGTGTTTGTTCTGCCCTCAGAGTCTGCATTCTCACCATAAACAACAGAATATGGAGCAAGAAAGACAGAGCCATCCTAACCCTTCCAGAGAGGGGCGTGGCCAGACACAGCTCATTTACATTTAAAGCTATAGATACAGAATAAGCCTGTTCTGAGCAGGGCTGAAATAGAGTGGTTTATAGACATGATCAAGTCCAGGATCAGGGTGGATTTTTACAAAGAAACTTCACAGACATGTTTCGGGCAGCTCTGAGACTTATTTTAATGTATTGAAAAGGAGGAAAATATGTGACATTTAAAGTTCAGTGTGTGTGGTTTATTTATTGGTGGGATTACATATCACAAATCTCAATAGTTCTGATCCGATCATGGATTTTGATCACGGATTGGATTGGTTTATCGGATCAAACATAAAGGGAAAAAACTGACATTTATGATAGAAAGCTACACACGACCTAAACTGTGCATTTTAACATCATCAATATACATTTAAAAGCTTTTCCATGAATTTAAATAATGTATCACATCCTCTTTGGTTTTCCCTATAGGCTATACACATTGCTACAATTCCAATATTAATAGTAGCAGTAGTCGGGCCTGAAACCTGAACTCTTTTTTTTATTTGGAAAGTGCTTTTAAAATCGGAGTACAGATGGCTTTAATATAAAAAACTGTATCATCTTAAAAACAGTATTTATAACCCCCAAGCAGAGACATCAACTTCACAAACAGAAAAAATAAGTCTCTTGGTGAATAACACGTTTGCTGTAATCTACTGGAATCTTTTGTAATCTTTTTTGGGATCATTTTTCTTGTAGGAGCTACAACATTGTTAAACTAGTAACAAACACAACACACTGCACATTTTGTTGATGTGTGTGTGTCTGTGTACCTACAGAGTGGGAACTACATGTTCAGTTCTTGGACCATACACACACGGTTTATAGCAGACAGATTTATGGTGTTGGATCATTCTGTGCTCCAACAACAAATTTTCATGGCCCTAACTTCTGATCTCTAAAATGAAGTAGAAAAAAGCTAATCTACTACCAAACTTTTTCTATTTCCATATTTATATAGTTGAATGAGAAAGTTATTTGAAAGTTATTCTACCATAAATAGTGTAATTACTATTTTGTTGAATAATAAATATCCAAATATTGCACAAGTTGTACACAAGGGTCTGAGACTTTGAAGTCTGAAGATGTTCTGAACTGTTATCTAAATGCATTTGAACAGTAGCTCAGAGCAAACTAAAATGTAGCTGTTAGTCTTGTTCTCGCTGTGAGAATAATTATCTGACTCGTAGCCGTGCATGAATTTGACACATGACATGAACATTTTCGATCCATCTAAGAAACCCAGAGGTGCTACACCCTGTGGCATGAGCAGCACTAAACACAGACACAGCAGAGTGAAGGTCTTCCAAAGCGCCTCTTTTAAACGGCACAATCTCTGCTTCTACCGTATCAGCTTAATCTTTCAACAACATGTCGAGATCAAATCCTGATTAATAACTTCAGAGTAACTGCAAACATTTTGAG